AAAAGAACTTCACTCATTAAACGTCCTAGAATGCAAATCTAACGACTCTGCCGAACGCTTTGAACGTCCTGGAACGAAATTTCGAACGACTTTTTCTAACGCTTTGAACGACCTTGACTAACGCCTTTAACGTTTTCTCTAGACTTCTAACGGCACGACAAATTTTTCTGTTTTATTAACGGCTTGAATGCTTTCCCAAGCTGTTTTAACGCTTTGTTAACGGGTTCTTAAAGCTTTAAGCCGTTAAACGGTAAACCGTTAGTGTACGTTTTCCTGGAGAAGGTCACATGTATCGTGCTCGGGATTAAGGGGTTCTTTACCACGTAAAAATTTTAAGGCCCAGTGTCGTTTCTGTCGGCATCTTGCGATATACTCTCTTGGTAATAACATCTTTATAGCTTGGCTGATATGGATGTAAATAGGTTTTCCATTCTCGATCCTTAAGACCATCCATTTATTCCCTTTTAGATTATCTTCTGGTTCCTGCTCGAAGTCTGCCTGCTCTGGCTCAAAGGAAGATTCGTCATCGTTTGAGATTCTGCCACACTCATCTTCATCTTCATCAAGCAAGGAATTTTTCGTCATTGACACCGAGTCCAAGATAATATAGGCCAGTGAAAGTTTCTTCAGCTCGCAGGGTCATCAAATGTGCAGCCGCTGACGGAGAGAAGCCAGCCGAGTCTGTGGTGTATCCCAGCAGGTGGATTGGTTCTTTTCGCATTTCCCCTTTCTCATCATAACAACAAAATCTCCGGAGCTGCTGCCAATAATTAAGGAGATGTTTCCCGGTATACCCCTTGTCAATCGTTGGCCACAAACAGTAAATGATGGAGGGTTTTTCCATAGAGGTAAGGCAGTTCAGATTATGTACCAATACGGTCTTGCAAAGGGAGTCTTTTTTAATGACTTCGTCGACGTACCGTTTGAGTGCAGTGAAATCATCCTTGTCTCCTTTCTCAACATTTCTTCTGGGGACTGTAGCTTTTTGAAGGTGCCAACATTTAACATTCACGTCCCATCCTTCGCCAACTAGTATGACCTCCCCATTTACGTTCTTTCGCGCTTCTAGATATCTGAGTGCTCGTGCTCCATCACTCACTTCGTGAACTGGTGATTTTTTTAACAAACTGGAGGCCGTTTCAAGCGCTTGACACTTAATTCCAGGATCAAGACGAGTTTCAGAGCTATGGCGTGATGCAGTTGTTGCCCGAGCTAATCCAAAAGCTCCCGTTAAAAGGGCATATTTGTTGGACCCAGTTCGTTCTTAAATAGTCCGCTCAAATCTTTGATTAATGCTGTGTAATGATGGTTGTTATTCTTCCTAAGTTCTGAGACAAGGTTTCGCAAACAAGAATTTGCACCGGATTTTTATTTGCAGTACCAGATTGAAAGAAACGAACCAGGTCAATGACGAGTTTTTGGTCGTCTCCAGCAATACAAGAGTCAAACAAGCAGCCTTCAATCTCGCTTGGGGCTAGTTTGACCTTTGCCATTTCTTGCAACTGTTTTTGAGCAGATCTTTGACGATATTCCGCTTTTTCAAGGGCGTCCTCTACCTCACCCTTTCTGGCGTAACGCTTAGTAAAGCCTCTAACACCAATGCAGTTGTCGGTAGCCTTTAGACTTCCACTTCGTCTGTGCTGAAGTGTATTCTTGAAATCCCTCTCCTGTCTTGCACAGTTGGAACATGAAAAGGGATGTTTTCCATGTGACATTGCTTCCTCTAAGCAGGGAGGATCTAGGCTCTCGATACCTCCGCTTAACTTGATCTCCCTGCTGTGAACTTTTATCATTTTGTTTAGTGGAATGAAGATTGCCCTTGGGTTTCTGCCTGCTTCTTCCAGCATAATTTTCTGTTCTCCGGGGTGTTTCTTCTTCCACGCTTCGTACCGATAACACTCTTCATGGTTCACGGAGGTTTTGTAACATCTAATGATGCCTTTATGCAGCCTTTTCTTGAACAGTGATTTTGTTGTAGAGCTTCTTATCTCCTTGTCATCTTTAAAATGTTTTACGACCTCTGGATCCTAGTAATAAAGACATCTGACATTACGTGGTTTGCCATCTTCTTTAGTGGAACCAGAGGTCGTACTCAGTTTAAAGGATTCTTTGGCGCAAAATAGTTTGTTATAGTCACTTTCTTTCCCTTGGATTGATCTGCGTCCGCTTGTTTTACCACCTCTGAAAAATCACGTTTAAAAAAGGCAATAGCTTCCTGGTGAACTTTGGAATTAAAGTGTTTGTTAACTTGTGTCACACCAGAGAAGCTAATGATGGTAGTATTGTTTATTATGTCATCAATTGTTACTTTGGTAGACTTGTATGCAGAATGTTTGACACCGTTTTTCTTGGCCCACCTTAGGAAAGGACTGCAAAGCTCGCAGTGATAATCACTTTTTCCATGATGTGTAAATTGTGGAAATACGTCTCCAGCAAATGTGTGCTGTATCTCCGAGCCGGCTACCTGGCCCATTTTAACCGGAGGGAAGGATGCAGCCATGAATGATCGGCGAAGCGCAGATTTGTGATTTCCTGTATCCCCTGAATGGCTATGAATGGTGATTCGTCTTGGAATTTCTGTGCTTGGTATGTCCAAAACCCTGCGCAAATATTCATGGAAAGACTGAGGGCGGCTTGGCAGATGCTGCGGTAATAAAGATTTCAATTTCTTGTGGTGGTGTTTGAAAAACGTTTCTTGCGAGTCTCCCTCCTCATCTGAGCTGACCAAAATGTCCCTCCGTTTGCTTTTTCTGGTAATTAGATGAGTGAAAGCCTGCCATACTGGAACTGGAAATAGAACTGGTCAGCTTAAGTTTCGTACTTGATTTGGGTGACCTTTTCTCCTCGGCAGCAATTTCGCTCAAATCAACAGACCACTCTCCTTCGTCTTCCTTCGGCAAATAATTGTCATCGACCAGATTCCATTCTTCTTGTGCTTCGTTTATCTGAAAGGCTCCAAGGTCCTTTTCTGGAGAGCTACGCCCGTGTTCTAAATTAGTATTTTCCTGGACTTTGATATCAGTCACTCCATCGTCGCTCCTTTTTTCCATCCTGCTTTCCTCTATTATCTGGATGCCACCATGGGGGTAACTTGGGGCATCTTTTTTCACGATCTTTGTTATGTGGCTAACGCCTTGTTTACTTTCGCTGTAAGGGGAGCTGCTGGTTGGTGCGGGTAGGTCCTGTACCAGAAGATGAGTTTTAAGGCTATCCGTCTATGTTTCTTCCTCTTTCTCTTTTTCACAAAAGGTAGATGGTGGCCGTACACACTCAGACTCCGGCTGTAAACCCCTCTGTTCCTGTTTCTTTTGCAAGCCCCTATAACCATTTTTTTCGCCCTTGCTACACGTTACTGTGATTCCCTTTAATGAACTTTGACTGATGCATCGCCCAAGACGACTAAAGAAAGCTTCCCTGCACTTGCTCTCGACTCTGCCAACATTGACGAATTCATTTCATAAAGTCTCTTTGCGAACAAAATCAGTTTCTTGTCCCCTCTCTTATGTTGTTTCTAACCAGGAAAGAATTTCCTGTTCCATAGTGGTGTCCTCTAATATCCACTAAAGTTGAATTAAAAGTTAAACTGTATTTACTTCAAGTGTTGAGCTAATCAAACTGAATTAGTTCAATTATTGAAAAGAAAGCAAGAACCACAGCATGACAAAATATTAATTTAAATGAGAGGAACAAGTGCGTCATGATATTAAAACAAATGGCATCCTTCAGGAGTTCATTTACAACTAAAGAATTACGAAAAGCGAACCAGTTTAATCTTTAAAGAGTTGTAGATTGAATCTTTGACTTCTAGAAGCTGGAATTTTGTTCCTTATCATTCGGTTGTAACATTAATCTCCATGACTCTGTTATGATAGCGGGAATTTATAAAACTGAACAAGGCCCAGCATAAGCGACTAGTCATTATAAACGCATTCAAAAGCAGTTAAATAAATACCACTAGAACGCACCCTCTAACAACTGCACAGATGATACTTTCTATGCAAAGCTTTTACAGAATTACTATGTGCAATTCCATAGTTCAGTGAAAAGGGAATACAGGAAAGGTAGCAGCTCCATTGGCTTAACGTAAATGCTCGAAATGGCGTCCTAAGATTCGAAGGCAGGCAGTTATTGGAATAAGACGCTTATTTTGTCTCATAAATTTTGGCTTAAAAAGAACATTGCCATTATTTCCAGTGCATGAACAATCAACACTGTCCCAATATTTTTGGGGGTTGCTTTTAATCTCTTGTTATTCCTAAGATACCCAAGTTATGGTATTCAGTTCTTTCTATTCTGATTATACGATATATTCAGTGATTTTCTTCTTCCTTGGGTGAGGATGAAGAGGGGACGCTCGATCATGAAAACAGGAGTGCTTATATAGTATTTTCTGGCTACAAGGTGGGAGGTTGTTTTTAAGGGGATATGTATTAGACATGGGCGTTAATTCGAGCAATTACGGTAGTAATTACGGTAGTATTCCTCAATGGTAATTGAATATCTTTCCAAAAAATGTAACTGCATTTAATCAGCTACCCTACAAGAAATGCTTCATAGGTATGTCTTACCTTACACAAGTCCCCAGTATGAGAAACTCCCCAGGGCTGATTTAACGTCAAAACAAGTTGTCTTCAAGCATTCAAGGTTTCAAACGGTTAAGCCAAAGTTGGACCTGTAAATAACCGAAAACAAACAAAGTAGTCATGTTGTTTGCATTACCTTCCAATTGTTAAATGTAAGTTAACTGAGGAGATACTCAATCCATAAGCGTTTGGAGGCACAAAGGCGATCACCAATGTATTGCAAGATCTTTATAGAAGTCACAAAGACATCACCACACTAGTCAATCAACGAGAATGCTTTGCAAGTTCTCCACAGAACTTACAACCAACATAATTCGCCGATGTTTTGCAAGTTCTAAGCAGACATCACAAAGACAATCGCCGATGTATTGCAAGATCTTTATAGAAGTCACAAAGACATCACCACACTAGTCTATCAACAAAATGCTTTGTGAGGTCTCAACAGAACTTAAAACCAACATAATTCGCCGATGTTTTGCAAGTTCTAAGCAGACGTCACAAAGACAATCGCCGATGTATTGCAAGATCTTTATAGAAGTCACAAAGACATCACCACACTAGTCTATCAACTAGAATGCTTTGCAAGTTCTCAACAGAACGCACAACCAATGAAATTCGCCAATGTTTTGCAAGTTCTAAGCAGACGTCACAAAGACAATCGTTGATGTATTGCAAGATCTTAACAGAAGTCACAAAGACAATCACCGATGTATTGCAAGATCTTTATAGAAGTCACAAAGACATCACCACACTAGTCTATCAACTAGAATGCTTTGCAAGTTCTCAACAGAACTCACAACCAATAAAATTCGCCGGTGTTTTGCAAGTTCTAAGCAGACGTCACAAAGACAATCACCGATGTATTGCAAGATCTTAACAGAAGTCACAAAGGCAATCACCGATGTATTGCAAGATCTTTATAGAAGTCACAAAGACATCCCACACTAGTCAATCAACGAGAATGCTTTGCAAGTTCTCAACAGAACTCACAACCAATATAATTGGCCGATGTTTTGCAAGTTCTAAGCAGACCCACAAAGACAATCGCCGATGTATTGCAAGATTTTAACAGAAGTCACAAAGACAATTGCCGATGTATTGCAAGATCTTTATAGAAGTCACAAAGACATCACCACACTAGTCAATCAACGAGAATGCTTTGCAAGTTCTCAACAGAACTTACAACCAACATAATTCGGCGATATTTTGCAAGTTCTAAGCAGACGTCACAAGGACAATCACCGATGTATTGGAAGATCTTTATAGAAGTCACAAAGACATCACCACACTAGTCAATCAACAAGAATGCTTTGAAAGTTCTCAACAGAACTTACAACCAATATAATTTGCCGATGTTTTGCAAGTTCTAAGCAGACGTCACAAAGACAATCGTTGATGTATTGCAAGATCTTAACAGAAGTCACAAAGACTATCGCCGATGTATTGCAAGATCTTTATAGAAGTCACAAAGTCATCACCACACAAGTCAACCAATGAGAATGCTTTGCAAGTTCTTAACAGAACTTACAACCAACATAATTCGCCGATGTTTTGCAAGTTCTAAGCAGAGGTCACAAAGACAATCGCCGATGTACTGCAAGATCTTAACAGATGTCACAAAGACAATCGCTGATGTATTGCAAGATCTTTATAGAAGTCACAAAGACAATCGCCACAAGTCACCAATGAGAATGTTTTGCCAGTTCTTAATGGTAGTCACGAAGTAATCACCACAAGATACTGCCAATGGGTATGCAAGATCCTTACAGTTATAAACATCTCACAGGTGTTTTCAAGCAGTTCAGTAAATAAATTAACGGTCCTGTAGTACTCACATGTAAAATGTGCTAGTTTTCAGAAATCTTCTTTTCGGTGGAAAGGATGCTTTGAAGGAATAGTGAAATCATTGCCAATGTAAATTAGCTTCGTAGGACTTTGTCTTTCAAGAATGACCTCTGTAGTGGGTTCTTCACAGAGCCTTGTCAATTACCAGTCTTCAAAATGTAACTTTTCCCCGCAAAAAGTAAAACTGAAACAACGGTTTTGTTGGCTATACAAAGTTATATTTCTCTGAAACGTTAACGCGTTAATGGTATGTAAAGAGCTAATTACTTGTTTAATGGCCTTGTATGCATGCAGCTGATCAACGTTCTTTTCTTCTGTTTTTTCCCTTACAGAGAAGTAAACAGATCGACAACAGATTTCTCACTTCTTTTCTTGCTTCATTTGTGGCGCTTTGCCATGGAACGGTAAAAGGTTTTCTTATCCGCCTCACTTCTTAATACTTAAAACTGTATTTTTTTGGAGGGAGAGCTGCTTCACGTGCTTCAGATATTCGTCTCTGCGACGCTACAATTTTGGGGACAGCTAATTCATAATTGTTCCTTTTTTTGAGTAGTTTTATACAATGGGAAGAAATGTTTGATTAAGATCAATGAAATATAGTCAAAATTTGCATGCTTCAAGTCCTTTAACAACATTTCATCTTCCTTTTGTTGGTTAACAGTACAGGATATTTACCACCTCTATGTGGGTGAATATTTTTTCTAGTACCTTATTGGTGCCTAATTGCATGGGTACTTATACCAGTAAAAGTTTAGAACTTTACCTGTAGCCGACTTGTATCACGTTTTGGAAAAAGGATGTGCACATTAGAGGTCGCCACAGAGCATGACTGTTAATTAAGCTGGCATGTGGTTTCTGATGGACATTCGGTTTGTTGTCAAGATGTGTCACAACATGGTCCTCCCTTCCTTTTTTATTATCAAAGTACTATTTTTAGAAAGATATAAATATAGCAAATAAAAAAACAAATGTGTCGAAAAAACATGGTCCTTTCCAAAAAAACAAAAAGAACTGGTAGGCCCCAGTAAGCACTTGTCCTCTTAGAGGACTATTTTTAGTTTTTGCAATTTTG